ATAATTTGACACTTGTAACACTTTACTCCCGATCCTCCTGTAGCTTTCTTTGCTCTGTCCCTACCTGATCTGCATTGATATCACAACTAGCCTCTCGCAAACACACAAACCCGTGACGGGTATAATCATCATCAAAGAGGGTGTTCGAGGATCAGCTATCGCGCAAGGCGATTGCGTTGAGGCTGAATCGAACCCTCGAGCTGCCAGCGCCAAAAACAAAACTCTCAAACGTTCCAAACCACTGAGCCATCGTACTATACACAGTAGCACGTTATAATACAATATGTTCTTTGTTCTACCGGCCAGCCCTCGATGCACCTTACTGCTCTCCCTTAGCTCTCTCCCAGTCGTACGAAGTTCTGAGCCCCCCAGGTGACTCAGATAGCTGATAGGTTCGTTTTATGCACCCATTCGACCTTAACCGTAGACGGGACGGCCGCCCGCACATCATCCTACGCCCGCACAAGGTGAGCGAGAGCGAAATTTCGCTAAGTCGCGCGCATCTTTTGGCGGGCGCGCCAAAAGGCCCCCGGAGTGGCCCAGCCGTTTCCCACAGAGCGGAGCGGAGTTGGAAACGNAGGCCCCCGGAGTGGCCCAGCCGTTTCCCACAGAGCGGAGCGGAGTTGGAAACGATCAGCTGGATCCGAGCCTACCAAAAGGCCCCCGGAGTGGCCCAGCCGTTTCCCACAGAGCGGAGCGGAGTTGGAAACGATCAGCTGGATCCGAGCCTAGCCGTACCCCGGCCACACTGCCATCTGCCACGAGCTTGACCAATGCTCCCGATATGCACTGCTTTGCAAATACACTGCTCATCCGAAAAACAATCAATAAGCATTGGCTATAAGTACTCTAAAAATCCTACTTTGCAGAAGTCCATATGCCGGGAATTAGGTGGAGCGCGGTATACTATATTATATTGAGGAAGATGGAGTGGTCCCGGGCTGTATCGCTCTTCCGCGGGGTCGTGGTAGCCATACGGTACTCGTACATGCAAACATCGTAGATACGGAGCGCGTGGCCGGGCCGGACCCACAGGCCCAATGTTAAAGATCGAACTACAATCCACGAACCTACAAATGACGATACATGGATCGCATGCTCAATTCGGTCCATTACAAAGAGGCCCGGTGGTATAAATGAGACGTCACATTGGCAGCATATAGCACGAAGATAACGGACGGTCGCTTTACCAGGTCGAGAAGAATTCATCCAGCCGGAGGATATGACTCAACTTGTGTCATCGTAAGTCGCGTAGGAGCCAGCGCCATACTGCTCAATCGGTACTTGAGTTTCCTTGGATGTCGACGACAGCCTATCGCGAGACTTGAAGCGAGCCCTTGTTGGCGCAGTACTATTTGCAGGCCCGAAGCCTTCTGCAGGTCTAGAGTCTCTCGTCCCTCGCCATTGGAGCGAAGCAGGTTGCGCAGCGTAGTACGAGTCGTCTCGGCTTTGACGGCTGATGCGGAAGATGATGGTCGAGAAGATGATACCGGTCAACTGCACGGACTGCGGGATCTTCTCAGTAACTCCCTCGATGCTCGTACGATCGGACAAGAAACGCACCATCTCGGACATGATTTCTAGACCCTGTGAGCCAAACTCTAGCGTCATCACATAGACGAATAGATACATCGCTGACAGCACCGCAGGTGAGTATATCAACGGATAGTAGAGGATATTCATGTACCGTTAAAGATGCCACTCTCGAGGATTATACGGATGATAGGCGTCAGCCGGGACGAACGGGACGAGCTCCCGCGCACCAGGCTGGACAGCGCCTGTTGCGTCTCGCGATTCACCGCCCAGATCCTGTATGCCAACAAAGCTATCCGATGTTCAGCATGAAGTGGTAAACTGTAGGGGATCGCTGACATACAAGTGGCTACGGCATTAGCCACTAAACTCAGGGAGAAGAATACCTTCAACCATTTGGCCTCGGAGAAAACGGTCTGATTGGGCAAGTGACTGTAAGCCCACATTGTGTACGATCCTGCAGCTACAATGCATAGTTAACAATACCCTGATCCTCCGAAGACATGAGGTACGAACCGGCACTCGTGAAGGATAGGGCGATAGGGAACAAAACGACGTAAAGCCTCTTTCCCCAGACGATCCAGCAGCGGTAGTTCTGATGAACGCAGATGCATGAGTGCTCTCGAAGCAGATCGTGCATATGCGGATGTACACACCACGAAGGAGTCTCCAACGAGGAGCACACAAATGAGAATGCTGTGTTTGGCAGTGAAGAGCGGCTGAGCAGGATCAGCAAGGAACGCGATTCGGGCTTCGCGCGGGTCGTGACCGATGAAGGCAACGAAGACATTTGCGGCGTCGACGGAGAAGCGAGCCGTAGCAAGGACTATGAGCAGCACCCCAGTCACGGTCATAGGCCAATGTAGAGTAGCTTTACCGCGCGCACGCCTTTTCAAAAGGTCGAACGTGCAGACGAGAAATAGGCATAAGAACACCCCTGTAGGTTAAGAAGTCAGCCTTGTAATGATAGTCAGCCTTGACTGAGAGCATACCGTAGAGCGCGCCTTCAACGACTAGACCAGCCAATTCGGCGACATCAATCAACATGGGCATGCCGGGGGTATGACGTTGGAGAAATGGAAGGGAGGACAATGCTGGCGGGAGTCGTCAATTTCACTCTGTACTTAAGAGACAGGTGCCTCATAGCGTACAGTTGTGCGCACGAGAGCGATACGGTCGCTACTCCGACGCGAGCCAACCTTACAACGCAATCCACGAATCGTTGATACCTGGCTGGCCTGGAGGGTAACCATGCCTGATTGGTCCTTCGGATGTACGAGGCCCCGACGATCTAATCGCGACACCGCATCGCAGCCCGGCCTCTGGGGTTGTCGCCGTGCGTCGGATTTCCCGCAGGCATGAGCAAACATGAGCGTCCATTTAGGGATAACCTCTACCAAGTTCACGGAGCTGCTCAGTCAGCGTAAGCGCCTATACGGGAGATGAAGATGTAGCCATGGGTGCCAAGCGCCACGTCCTGACAGTAGCGAAGTTGATCTTGCGGAAATCAACATTATTCATCGATACAACGGATGACATGAAAGATACGAGCTTAGACAACAGATCACGTCTCGCGCCACAAAAGCATAGACTCAAGGTAGAGAACTTGATCAACTGCACAAAAGACCATGTTCAAGGTTGTTCTCAGCCAAGTTCCGTCATGGTTGAGGAAGGAGAAAGAGGTTCGCATGAGGTTGAGCGTCGCGCGAACACGTGGATCCGCATAAAGCCGCGCTCGAGTAAGTCACGACGTCGGTCTTACCGCACTCTCACCATCATGACCCCACGCAACTGACTGTAGTATAATCAAATCTTGGGGCAGACCGTTGAGTGCTATGCCTATGTTTCATGACCAGTACGTAGTCTACGTGGCATATCAACGCCTGCTTGGCGACCGGACCCTCGGTCCCCGTTTGCTCAAGCATGATGCTAGTACTTGTTCCTCTTCGATCTCCGTTCAACCGCACCTGACATCAACAAACAGCCATCTGTAGTTTCACTCCCAAGGGTGGCGCACAATACCGACGGTAAGCGGTCCAAGTCGGTGCTGTCACCTTTCCGTGATGGTGCCACAAAGCCGGTGTTCGAGAAGTATGGGACCGTCCCTGACATGCTCGCCATGTCGCACGCGAGCGACGCTGGCCTCGCCACTGCTCCTCGGCGCCTCTCCATCCGCGGAACGTTCTTCTCCGACCTCTACCCAGAACTTCTACTTGGGGTCTGGGAGAAGTACGTGGCTTTCACGGAAGGGAACGAGGACGTCAAGGTCAGTGCCGTCCTATGGGACCTGACATCTCCGGCCAAACTCGCAGAAGTCGATGTAGACGCCACTGCGCTGAAGACGCGTGAGTCTCATTACTGGATGGCTGTTCAAAGCAGGCACGTACTTGATTGAGCTCATCGTATGATCCTCCGTTTGACCAGACGCAGATCCACGACTGACGCATTCGTCGCCGCTGTGCGCGAGATCACCGCGTCCACTGTAGCCTACGTGTGCGAGAAGAACGCGCAACTTTCTTGCCGAGGCCTCGGCTGGTTCGTCAATCTCTGCGCTGGTGACGAAAAGGTTGAGGACGTGTTTGGGCGGCACTTGCCCCGCCTGCGTGAGGCGAAGCGGAACTATGATCCCGAACAGATATGGAAGAAGGGGGTTTTCGCTGATGTATGAGCACTATACTGTCGTGTACTCCGTCCGTATCTCTTCGTTGATTATGCTTCCTGGGCGTCCTCGCGCCATGCTATAGGCGGGCATACGGAGACAGGTACAACGGTTAAGGGTTCGCGAAAGTTGGTGGCCCGTGTTCGCGTAGGGTATCATAGACATGTCTCGAAAAGGGGGGAGGATGTGCGCCAAATATAATTGTATCGTTGTGACGTAGGACGAGTGTAAGATTCGAGAGCGTAGTCGGGTTTGGACTTCAGATGTGCATGACGAATATGTACGTGCGGTCATCGCAGGGAGCAACAGACTGAGGCTGGGCGGTCCGCATTGATCGCCATGTCAGCCGAATCGGCCACTTTCTCATACGTCTCGTACATATTCAAAGCGTGCCTGTGATCCCCTGTATGCATATTTCCGTCGTTATACTTATTGTACCAGAATTGAGGCCGGACTCGAGCGATAGCTGAGTACCATCAACAACCATACGAACCAGCCAGAGAAAACGGGGGTATATCCATTCGAGAAGACCACGGTTATCCAGCTCCCGCCCACCCAGGCGCGAAAGCCACGTATATACACAACAGAAAAGAACAAAGATCAAAACCCGACACAGAAACGGAAGGAGTACAGGCTGGATCCGGCCGAGCATGATGTGATGAAAGAAATAAGTAGCGCAGGGTGAGGGGAATGTGAGAGGGAATTCAAACATAAGAGCTTGGATGGGGGATTGGGCATGTACATGTGACAAGTCATAGATTTAAGGCGGGCAAGGTGGGGCAGGAGTGAGCGCTGCGAGGGGAAAGGTATCGAGAAGGCATTGTACAAACATGTGGGAAAGAGTCAATGAGATCGGGACCAGGATGTGCGAGGAGAAACGAGCCAGGGAATCAGAGTAATGTCGGGTTGAAAGCAGGACCTGTTGACAATGTCAGCTCGATCCTCTCATGAAGCTCAGAAGAGCGCACGCACCGTCACGTCCCCTCCCAACCCCTCAGGGCAACCTCCACCATCCACCGCCCACAGCATCCACACGCTGAAACGCGCTCTACAAATCCTCATTTAGAATCCCCCTCACACCTCCACTCTGCGTCCGTCCTCCATCCCGCCCCCTCCGATCGCTCATCTGCGGCACCCGCCTCTCCCTCTCCTCCTCCACATCTTCGCTCGCGCTCGGAAACGGCACCGGCACCGCGCTCTTCTTCTTCTTTCCCTTGCTCTTCTCCTTCTCCTTCCCCTCCTTATCGGACCTCTCCTTCTCCTTCTCGCGCGAACTGCTCTTGTCCTTCCTCGACGACGCCGACGCCGACGAAGCAGTAGACGCGACGGAGGACGTCGTGAACGTACTACTCTCGCTCGCCTGCCGACTCGCCACTTTCACCGCCGTCGGGCTCCGCTCCGTCCGCGGCCTCTCCCTTCCCTCCGCGTTGGAAGTTCTCTCTCTCCGCTCCGCGCTCGACCCAGGCCGCGCAGTCTCGACTCTCTCCCTTGGCTCCGGGCGCACAGTCTCAACCCGCTCCCTCGGTTCCGGGCGGTTCATCACGAACTCCCTCGGCGTCGGCGGCACACCCACACTCGCACCGGGGACGGCATCGACATCCTCCCACTCATCCTCCCCGATCAGCTCCCCCTCATCATCGTCCAACGGCCCGTCCCGCGTGCTCTCAAACGTCTCGTTGCTGATCTCGCTATAATCGCTCGGCACGGGCTTCAGCTGCAGCGCCCTCAGATCGAACGAGCCGCGCCCGGCCGTATGCGGGCCGGGCGTGAGCGGGTCGGCCGGGTCGTCGTCGCCGGTGGATGAGGCGGACGAGTCGGCGCGAGCGGGCACTTCGACGAAGGACCGCGGGCGGCCCTCGGACGCGTCGAAGAAATCGCCGTCGGCTTCGTCGTCGCTGTCGCCGTCTTCGCGCACAACCTTGACATCTTCGCCCACTACGACCCTCATTCAGCCCTCTCTTCCCTCGTAGCTTAATGTGCAATGGAACATACCAGACAACCCATCAGGCGAATCAGGCTCGCTCAGACTCTCAAGCCCCATATCGCTATCCGCGTCGCTCGGCCACGACGGCGGCTCGTCCTGCACGCTGAATATCGCGCGGTGCGTCTTGCCCAACTGTCACCCCCCACCCTCGCATCAGCACGCACACTCTCTTTAGTACAGTCAAAAGGGCTGGAGCGCACCTCGACGACCCTCGCCCTCAAATCCCGCCACTCGCTCTCGTCCCTGACCAAAAAGCCGAGCAGCATGCTCGGGTCCAGCCCCGCGAGGGGCAGCTTGCGCACTTTCTCGCAGCTGAACGTCCGGATCTGCAACGACACAACACAGCGTCAGCTCTCTCATGCACCCAAGATAGTGAAGGGAAGTACTTCTTGAGCGGAATACGCAGCCACATAATGCTGCTGCACGCTATCGAGCGCCAACAGGCTCGCGCTGCTCCCAATCAAACTCTGCGCCGTCAGATTTCCCGCGCTCATCCCGCCCACTCCCCCCTTCCCCCCTCCAATTCCTCCTCCTCCTCCTGCACCACCTCCCATTCCACCACTAGCATTACTCCGCCCACCAACACTGCTCTGCCCCGGACTCCCCGGCGCCGTCGTCCTCCACCGCGCATGCCCACTCTGCCCTTGCCCCTGCCCACTTTGCCCATAACTCTGCCCATGGCCGGCAGAAGACGACGAGTTGCTCGACGACGTGCTCAGCTCCTTCGCGAGCGGGCTCGCAGCGTGCGCGCGCCCGGGCGGCGGCGACGTCGGCGAGCGCGTGTGTCTCGCCCTTTCCCTATCCCTCTCCCTCTCGTCTTCGTCTCTGGACGTTGAAGGACGGGCGGGAGTTTGCGGCGGAGGCGGGGCCATGCTGCCTCGTCCTTTGATCGGGATCGGTTCGGGGGAGGATCCGCCGAGGGGTGGTGTAGACGGCCCGTGGAGCGGCGGCGTCGTCGGCGCTTGCCCTTGATTATGACCTTGTGCAGACGAGAACGTGTTGGGCGTGACAGTAGGATACGACGGCGGCGGCGGCGGACGCAAAGGCACGGCGGGCCGCGCGTGGTGCGGGTCGAGGTAGAACAGCGCGTCGGCCTGCGTGCCGACGAAGTAGTAGGACGAGGAGGGCCGGCCGCCGGCGATGCCTACTGATTGGGGCCAGGTGAAGAGGGTCTGTGCGGAGGGCGAGCATCAGCGAGTTGTTACGATGTAAGAGCAAAGCGAGCCGTCACGATTTGGAGGGGCAGCATCTTGGTAGGGTAGAGTAGAGATAGGGGGGAAATGGGGAGGAACGCACCTTAACACTCTCATAATAAATCGGATTCACCCCGTCCAGCCCCAACCTCAAGCCGACGAGCACGAGCACCGCCCTTCCGCCCCATCTTGTCCTTTTCCTGTTCCCACCCATTTATCAGCACCCCTCCTTCCTGCATAATGATTCCCAAAGTGAGGACGCACCTGTGGGCAGAAGCCGCGCTCCGCGGGTCCCACGACGCCCCAAACACGTCCGTCTGGAACACCTGGCTGTCGACGGCGACGCACACGCCGAGGGCCGCGTCCGGGAACGCGTCCGTCAGCGTCCTATCACCACATCGCGTCAGCACTCATTCCCCGCTTGAGCTCGTTCCCACCCAAGAAGAGGGAGAGAGGAGAGGAAGAGGAAGCTGGGGAGAGGAGGAAATGGTGTGAGAAGAAGAGAGAGGGTACGCACCGGAGCGCGCCGGCGGCGGTGCTGGGCCCGAACCACTGCCCGACGTCCTTGCCGAGCTCTTTGCCTGCGAGCGCCATGCGGTGGACCCTACACACCACACCCAATCAATCAGTACCAGTTCATAGTGTAGTAAGAATGAGAGGGCATACGAAAACGGTGCAAGAGGGCTGGGCGCGTCGAGGAACCACGTCAGAATCTCCACGTAGCGCGCGTAGGCAGCTGTTGCTTGCGGGCCGGGCGGTCTTCTCCAATCTGTGCAAAGACACGAAAGTCAGCAGTGCGTTCGATGGGAACAAGACAAAAGTAAGAGGAAGACAAAATGCGAGCAACTCGAGTCTTCGCTAGGATGTGATGCGATAGAGATAGAGATAAAGATAGAGAGGAGACGCACCGCGCCCCAAATGCAAATGCACAAGCGCATTCGCCAGCAGACTCTGCCCCGTGCGCAGCATGCACCCCCACCCGCTGTCCGACGTCCACCCGCGCTCGCCGAAGCCGGCCCATGCCCAGCGGGACTTCGAGGGCGAGGTGCTGAGGAGCGAGGCGGTGTCTGAGCCCGCCGCTGTAATTCTCGCATCAGTAAAGGTGTCATGATAATGATATAAAAGAGAGTTACCGTCGAGCGCGTGGAGGGTGGTATCGCGTATCGGCGGGAACTGGCTCCGATACGTCAGCCACACCCTGCTCGAAAAGTCGTTGTAGAAATCCGCGGGCCAGCCCCGCCCGGCCTCTTCGAACATGTCCTCTCCCTCCCCTCCCGCTCCTGCACTATTCCCACTTCCTCTCTTTCCTTTCCGTCCTCCTGGTGGAGTCGATCGACTCAGACTCATCTCCTCCCTCTCTCTACTCCCATTAGACCGCACAGACGCCGCTTCGACGCTGATACTGCTCCGCCGCCCAGATGTCGAAGTTGATGAGGAGGGAGAATGTGCCGGTGAGGGAGAGAAGCCCGGGTGCTCGACGCCGAGCACCCAGATGGGCGCGGTGCATTTGTCCGGCGCGGCGTCGCTGTCGAGGATATACCGCATCGCGCGGTCGAGGTGTCCTTTGCCCGTCCTTGCAGCAGTCAAAAGTCCATGCACCCTCCCTCCTCCCCCTCCACCTTTCCCTCCTCCCTGACCCTGGCTGGACGATCCGCCCTCGGTAGACGACCCCGACCGCGCGTCAACGTTGGAATTTATACCGCCGTTGGACAAAAGCCGCCGATCGGGCGACGTGGGGAGCTGCAGATTCGTCGGCGACGTGCTGCGCTGGAGAATATGTGGCAGACTGAGATCGTTGGAGGACGTGTTGAATGTATGGTTGAACCACCCGCTCAATCTATCGCTGATCTTCGGCCCCCCTCC